TTCATGAGGGACACAGAAGAAAAAAAGTTACACATACAAAATGATCCTTTACTGTAAGCCCTTCCGCTACTTGGTTCATTGGGCATGTTTGGGTGAAGCAGAACCTCTTTCTGTCAGCTCTGACAGTTCCGATGTGTTGGTCCTTTCTCCTCCTAGTCCACCCAAAAGTTCTATTGAGAACCCTTTGTCCCCTCCTCCTTACCTATCTAGTCCCACTCTACACCCACCACTCCCTGAAGAAGACCCTAGAGAGTACTACTTGTAGTGGAGCTGCCTATTAACCTCCAAAAAGAAATCTTTGTCCATTTAGGCCAGGCACGGTGGCTCACACCTGTAATCCCATCACTTTGGGAGTCCGAGGCAGGTGGATCACTTGAGGTCAGGAGTTCGAGACCAGCCTGACCAACAAGCCTGACCAACCCGTGTCTACTAAAAATACAAAAATTAGCCAGGTGTGGTTGTGTGCACCTCTAATCCCAGCTACTTGGGAGGCTGAAGCAGGAGAATTGCTTGAAACCGGGAGGTGGAGGCTGCAGTGAGCCAAGAAGGTATCATCACATTCCAGCTTGGATAACATAGTGAGACTCCATCCCCACCCCGCTTAAAAAAAAAAAAAAAAAAAAAAAAAGAAAGAAATCTTTGTCCACTTAGACAGGTTGCAAATGGGGAAGAAGGCACAGTGAGAGGACATGTCCCCTTCTCTATGTCTGGTTTGGCTCTATAATAAGACAAATTTGATCATTTCTCAGAAGATCCAGGAAAATTCATAGATGAGTTCAAGAAGTTAACTCTGACATATAATTTAACTGGGCAGGATCTGTATGTTTTGTTGTCTGTGTTGTGTGGTGGAAGAGAAACAATGCATTTGGGGTACAGCTAGGACCCATGGAGATGAGGTATAGCTCACAACCCAAACCATAATATATATCAGAAAGGAGGTATAGCAGTTCCAGATCAAGATCTAGAGTGGAACTATCAAAGGGGCAGTGAGGACTTGGGAGAAGAGATCATATGGTCACTTGTTTGTTACAGGAGATGAAAAACTGAATGAAAAAGTAAGTTTCTCAGTGCAAAGATGAGAATCCAGCTTTGTTTCAATAGCGTTTAATTGAGGCAATCAGGAAATATACTAACACTAATCCTGCCTCAAGGAAAGATAAACCCTTCTGGGAGTACATTTTATAACCCAGTCTGCCCTTGATATACATAGAAACTTGTAAAAGCAGCTATTGGTCGCAAAACTTCCACGAAACAGTTTTGGATATGACATTTTTAATTTTTAATAACAGGGACAAAGAAGAGGAAGGAGAAAGAGCAAAAAGAACCTCCCACAAGGTGCTGCTCTTGGTTGCAACCTTAAGCTAACCTCCCACATAGGGTTGCCTCCTGGGATTGACCTCAACAAGGGAAGCTGAAAGGTGGGAAGCCCAAAGCTGGGAACCCGAATCACAGTGCCTTGGGCATAAATCAGGGTGCACACTGTAAGAAAACTGGCCATTGGAAGAGGGTTTGTCCAGTTTTCTGAAGAGAGCCATTGGCACCCGAAATAACGATGGGTGAAACAGCCAGGCAAGTGCCCAAGAGTGATGGGGCCTGAGACCTTTCACCACAGCTTCCATAAGACAACTAGCCATATAACAGAAGCAGCCTTGGTAACCTTTGCCATGGCAGGTAAGAATATTAACTTTTGCTGGGCATGGTGGCTCACGCCTGTAATCATGGCACTTTGGGAGGCTGAGGTGGGTAAATCACTTGAGGTCAGGAGTTTGAGACTAGCCTGGCCAACATGATGAAACCCCGTCTCTACTAAAAATACAAAAAAAGAAAAATCTGGAAATTGCTTGAACGCAGGAGGCGGAGGTTGCAGTGAAATGAGATCATGCCACTGCACTCCAGCCTGGGCAACAGAGCGAGACTCCGTCTCAAAAAAAAAAAAAAAAAAAAAAAAAGGAATATTAATTTTCTTCCGATTGGTTACTCTGTTTTGACCCATTATAATGGGTCTCTGTCATCCCAAAACTGTATGGTCACGGGGGTAGATTGACAAGTCCATAGATGCCATTTTATCTAATCTCTAAGCTGTTTTTCAGAGACTTTGGTTTTCCTACAAAATTTTCTTATCATGCCTGGATGACTCAGGGCAGTCACAGCAACCTCTCCTTTGGTAGATGAAGCCAACAAACTGACTTTAGAACAACACCTGGAAGTTAAAACCCACACCAAGTACAAGAAGTCCTAGAAGCTAAAGGACACCAGTGGGTGACAGAGGGACGCTTATTGAAATCTCAGGCATTTTGCTAGACACTCCTGATAAACTGTTAACACGAGGTGCTAATCAGTGAAAAATAGTTAAACATTTGCATGACTCTACTCACTTGGGAAGAGATTCCCTGTTTCAATTAATGTCTTGGCTTTTTATAGAAAAAGGGTTACTTAAAACAGTAAACCACATAACTCAAGCTTGTGAACTATGTGCCTGGAATAACCCAAATGACCAATGTTTACCTCCTCTTTTAGTAAGGCTTGTTCAGCATAGAGGAATGTACCGCGGTGAAGACTGGCAAATAGACTATACTCAGATGCCCCTCTGGCAAAAATTTAAGTATTTATTAGTATTCATTGACACCTTCACCGTTTGGATCAAGGTTTTTCCTACCCGGTCTGAAAAGGCAATGGAGGTTCCTAAACTCCCACTAAAAGAATTCATTCCGCCGAGCATGGTGGCTCATGCCTGTAATTCCTGCACATTTTGAGGCTGAGGCAGGTGGATCACCTGAGGTCAGGAATTTGAGACCAGCCTGGCCAACATGATAAAACCCCTGTCTCTACTAAAAATATTAAAAAATTAGCTAGCCATGGTGATGGGCACCTCTAATCCCAGCTACCTGGGAGGCTGAGAAAGGAGAATTGTTTGAACCTGGGAGGTGGAGGTTGCAGTGAGCTAAGATTGGGTCACTGCACTCTACCCTGGGCAACAAAAGTGAAACTCCCTCTAAAAAATGAAATAAAATAAAATAAAATAAAATAAATAAAGAATACCAGTTTGGGTCTATCTAAGAGCTTAGAGAGATAATGGCCTATCTTTCTCTTCTTTTTTTTTTCTTAGACAGAGTCTCACTCTGTCACCCAGGCTGGAGAACAGTGGTGTGATCTCGGCTCACTGCAACCTCTGCATCCCAGGTTCAAGCAATTCTTCTGCCTCAGCCTCCCAAGTAGCTGGGATCACAGGCACATGCCACCATGCCTGGCTAATATTTGTATTTTTAGTAGAGATGGGGTTTCACCATGTTCAAGTTTTCTTGAACTCCTGACCTCATGATCCGCCTACCTCAGCCTCCCAAAGTGCTGGGATTACAGGCATGAACCACCGTGCCCAGCCCAATAATGGCCTATCTTTCACAGTGACAATTACACAAAATATATCTTCAGCCCTAGAAATTTAGTATCGCCTTCACTTAGCATGGAGGACACAGTCTTCAGAGAAAGTAAAAAGAGCTAATCAAATTCAAAACAGGACTCTTGCTAAGCCATGCCAAGAAACATCAAAGACCTGGCTGTCTTTGTTATCTGCTGCCTTATTACAAGTTCCAGTGGGCCTCTAAGGGAAATCTGCAGCTCAACTCTTTTGAAATATTGTATGGAAGGCCTTTGTTAGCTACATACCTTCTAATAAACACAGATAATTTCAAGCTGCAGAATCATGTGACAAGTGCAAAATGCATTCTTTGAATATAGAAATCAAAGATTCCCTTCCCCAACTAAAGAAGATAATCCTGTTACAACCCAGCTGGGAAATTTGGTCCCATTAAAAACTTGGAAAGAAGTATCCCCAGCAGATCAACTTTCCCCAAAGTGGAAGGGACCCTATCAAGTTCTCTTTAGTAACCCAACAGCAGTTTTAAATTCTGGGAATAAACGGCTGGGTCCACTTATTTCGAATTAAACCTGTCTCTTACGAAGTCCTACAGGCCAGCAGGACTCAAGAGGCTGATCTGTTTATTCCCATGAGCCAGTGACCTCCAACTTCTGTTCAGAAGATGAGACAGGGATGGGAAACATAAAGATATGGATTGACATTCTACTTTTGGGTATTAGTTGGAATCATGCAGAGAGTAACTTATTTACTGAGTGGACACAGACTTCATCCTCTCTACATAATCAAACAAACTGTTGGTTATGTAGACATTTTAACAGAGACCGAAAAGGGATCTTGTGCTTTGCTCACAACCGAATGTTATGTGTATGCTCCAGACTATTCACATAATATTACCCAGACTATACAAGTTTTAGACACTCTTACCATTTATGCATTATCATTCAATCCTATATCAGCTTGGTTCCAACAACCGTCCACTTCTTGAAAAGCCTTCCTGTTTAGTTTACTTGGAATAATTTTACGAGTTTTGCTTTGCTGCTGTGAAACATATTGTGGTTGTACTCTTTGTGTAGTCCCAACTACTCTGGAGGCTGAGACAGGAGAATCACTTGATCCTGGGAGGCAAAGGTTGCAGTGAGCTGAGATCGTGTATTACATATAAATTTTTAATTTCTCTTCAAAAATCAATATGTCAGTATGTTCAATTCTTTGCCTTCTACTTTTTAAATTAACTTATTCGTAAAGCAACCTTTTTCCATCACCTGCTCCACCGTGCCTTATTCCAATTACCTGCTCCACACTAACTCATTCTGATTACCTGCTCTGCCCCCACCTGCTCCACCCTAACTCCCGCCAAACCACTCACCACATCACTCTATTTAAATTAGCCAGTCTGAATTGGTTTACTGTGCGGCCTAATCCTAGCCAACAGGGGAAGGACACAGCAGCAAGGGCCACGTGCTTCAGGGATAAGAACCCCTTCCCCGCTCTTAAGTGTGCGCTCATTGTTGCTCCATCTATAACGGCACACAGGTCTATAAAATTAAATTGCCTTGCTAAGTAGAAAAAAAACAAATTTTATATTCAAGTGCTATTTATTTTGTGGCACTAAAAGTTTACTTACCACATTGCACCTTTGCACTCCAGCCTGGGCAACAAGAGAGAAACTCTGTCTCAAAAAAAAAAAAAAAAAAAGTTCACATTTTGGATACATTGAAAAATACAGCAAAGAAGAGATAGAGTTTTCCAGTGCTCTGGGATGGGCCTGCTTCAGCTCCAGGAGGAAGACGTGCCTGAAAAGGCTGCAGCTGAGGCTGTGAATCTTCTTCATCCAGCCCAACCTCTGATCACATCTGCTGTCACTCAGGGCCTGAGAAGGCGGGGTCTTAAACGTTATCCAATCAGGGACGCTGTCCTGGGAACTGTCCAATCAGGCACACAGCTGGAACGAACAGGGCGGCTTCCGGGATTTGGCCGGGGCCTTTGCCTCTCACTGCAGCCGGAGGTCCAGGTCTAGTGCTCACTGCTCTGTGTCTTCTGCTTCTAGAGGCCCAGCCTCTGTGGCCTTGTGACCTGCAGTTATTGGAGATCCACAACTAGGAAGTCAGGACCCCCTGGAAGCCTAGAAATGGTGAGAGGGCCAGACCGACATCCCGAGAGAGGGAGCGGGGGTGGTTGGAACCGGCGGGAAGCGGCTGTGGGGGGACTCACGCCTCCCTGCAGTCAGCTCCACTATGTTCGCCCCGAGTTCTCCTTGTCCAGCTCGGCCTCAGTCCTCTTCAGCCATGAGATGGCGGCTGCGCTGGCAGCTGGGCCTCCGGGCGTCCTGTCTCTTCCCTGTGTAGTGATTGTGCCCTGGCCTGGAGCCCTCTCTGGGCAGCTCTGCACCAGTAGCCCCGCATCTCTCCCAGATGGTGCAGAGACCATGGGAGGAACCTCAGGGCAGAATCCTGACTCGGGGTGCGGGTTCATATGGGAAGCGTTTTTGTCCATAGGCTTCCCAGGCTTTCTTTTTTCCTGTTAAAAATTTATGGTGTCACCGCGAAAATTTTAAATAATTCAGAGCACCTGGCTGTGGTTTGTAATTTGTAATCCATGGAAGGGGCTTGAAGGAAAGACTTATAAGGTTCGTGATAAAAAGCAAATTGAGTAATTGGCTAGGTACTGTGATGTACTTTTTGTTGTTGTTTTGTTTTGTTTTTCTTTTTTTTTGGAGACAGTCTCCGTTGCCTACGCTGGAGTCCAGTGGTGTGATCTCGGCTCACTGCAACCTCTGCCTGCGTAGTAGCTGGGACTACAGGTGCCCGCCACCACACTTGGCCATTTTTTTAAAAAAAAAAAACTTTTAGTAAAGACGGAGGGAGGGGTTTACCATGTTGGCCAGGCGGGTCCTGAACTCCTGACCTCAGGTGATCCACCCACCTCGGCCTTTCAAAGTGTTGGGATTACAGGCGTGAGACCCGCGCCTGCCCTAGTTTCTTAATTTTTAAAATCAAGGTGGAAATATCCTGGTTATGTAATCAGAGCTTAATTGGCAGTTTATAGTTGGTTAAACCCGAAGCTTGTTTCCACCAATGTAGTAATTTACCAAAAAATGCTCTTGATTTAGACTTTTTTTAGAAGTAGAAATCCGGGGACTAGAGCCACCTCAATCTAATTTCCTGCCACTTAATGATTTTCACACTCCACAGAGGACTGATTTTTCCCTGAAATTTTCACTAGTGTCCCAAGAAGGGCCTCAGGTCTACCCCTTATCCCGTTTTCCTCCAGTCTAACTCTGGCTTGCAGAAAAATACTAAATTTCCATTTTGGTCTGACATTCCCAAATGCCAATTTTCCCACCCTAATGCACTTTATCAACTATTTATCCTTTAGTATACATTTTGATACCTATTTTAAGTAATTCTTTTTATTTTTAATTTTTGAGATGGAGCCTTGCTCTGTTACCCAGGCTGGAGTACAGTGGCACAACCTCGGCTTACTGCAGGCTTTGTCTCCCAGGCTCAAACGATTTTCTTGTCTCCTCCCAAGTGGCTGGAATTACAGTTGCCCAGCACCACGCCTGGCTAATCTTTGTATTTTTAGTAGAGATGGGGTTTCACTATGTTGGCCAGGCTGGTCTCGAACTCCTGGCTTTAAGAAATCTGCCTGCCTCAGCCTCCCAAAGAGCTGGAATTACAGACATGAGCCACCACACCTGGCCTATTAATCATTTTTTGACAAAGCATTTGATGGCACATTTAAAAAGATTTTTTAAAAAAATATTTCCTATGAGAAGAAAGCAAAGAATAATCTGACACTGTATGGTGAAATATCTCTCTGCATTTTTTTCTTCTATTTTCACTAGACACAGATATCAGAATGTTTTTGGGTCAGGTTTTCCTTTTGAAACTTTATAGGGTGATGTGTCTTCAGTCACTCTTCAGTATTTTATTTTTATTTTTTATTTTTTGTGAGACAGAGTCTTGCTCTATCACCCACAGGCTGGAGTGCAGTGGCCTGTGATCTCGGCTCATTGCAAGCTCCACCTCCAGGTTCAGGCCATTCTCCTGCCTCAGCCTCCCAAGTAGCTGGGACTACAGGTGCCTGCCACCACGTGTTGGGGTCCGCGTGTTTCCTAAACAAAGGAATGAACACACAAGACAACACAAGACAAACATGGCGGCTGCCTCGAATGGCGCGCTCCGCTTTATTTTATATAGTTGTTTGTGGAATGTTGCCAAGTCACAAGACACATCGTTGTTTTTCTGACCTTTCCCTGACTTTCTGGATTTTCAAGATGTTTACATATAAACAGGCCCCCAACGCCCTGCTTCATTTGCGAGAGCAGGACTTATGGGGAACACCATGTTTGTGAGCACGTAGTCCTCTACATTTCCCCTTTCCTTATTTACAAGTTTGAATTTCTTTTAAAACCATCATTACATGTTGGGCTCGCTGGGATTCGGTGTTTGCCCTTTGGCACCATCTCCAGCAGACTGTGAAAAATGACAAAGGCAAGAACAACAATCAATACATTACTAGAAACAGAGGTCAGCAAAGTTTTTACAGGACTCATAGGGTTCAAAGACGTCAAACTTTGTGCAATACCAGTCATCAAATCTGCACCAGTCAGCTACGGTAACTGATTGCAAAATGTTTCAGAAATGTTCTGTGTTAATTCTTGTATTTCTAGGGAAAGATTATTATGACCAATTAAAAGTCTCTTTATCTCAGTCCAATTATGTACAGTGCTGTCAAAAGGAACAGGAGTAATACAAAATTGGGTAGTGTTCCAATCACATTTCAACAAAGCTCGGGTATTCAACACTGTTAGCTGATCTCCCAATCAAGAAACCACTTGTTTTAGATTATCTACTCGTTCAGTCAAATGAGCATCTATGTCTTGTTGCTGCTGCCACAACAAATGTGATTGTTCATGCCATTGTTGCACAAATTCTGCATTTTGTATATTCTGGTGTAGAGCTAATCCAGCAACAGCGGCAGTGGAAGCAATTGCTACAAGTCCTATCACCGCGGTCACGACGATTTCAACCATTCTCCGACTGCGGTGGACAAGATCTTGCATAACCTTATAAATTTGAGTAACCCCAGCAGATTCACTCCGACCGGGTTTTCCACATTGATAGCATATACCTTGTTTAGAATTGCCTTTTAAAGCCTTAGAAAGTGCCCCAGCAAACAATTGAGCATTGTAAATAGCTCCTCCAACACCTGCACAAGCCCGAATGTATTCATCTAAATCAGCCCCACTAGCTTTTAGAGGACGCAGCAATTTTTGGCACTCAGGATTAGCACTCTCAAAAGTCAGAGTATTCAAAAGAATTTTAGCAGTAGGGCTTGAACCTACAGTCTTTAATACAGTATTTTGAAGATGGGCTACAAAATCTGGATATGGCTCTGTGGCTCTTTGTAGGATCTTTACAAAAGATAAAGAAGTTTTATCCGCTATTTTAATCTTAGTCCACGCTTTTAAAAACAAGGCTTTAATCTGAGTGAGAGTAATATCATCTAGGCCTGCCTGAGCATTAAGAGTGGCGTATTGTCCTGAACCCGTAAGCTGCTCTTCAGTAGGTCTTGGGGGATTTCGCGTAGCATTTTTTCTAGCTTGTACTCTTGCTTTCTCTCACCACCAACTTTTTAATTGAAGCCATTGCGAACGATTAAGGACAGTCTGTCCCAACGTTTTCCAGTCAACAGGAATCATCATATGTTTTGAAGGAATCGAGAAGGCCAAGGACAAACGGTGATTGAGGTCCATAATTAGAAATTGCAGCTTTCATTTCTTTCAAAAATTTAAATTGTAGGGCTGTAAAAGTCACATTCTGGCCACCGTTTGGGAACTGAGCATTGGGGCCGAAAGCAGCCCGTGTTATTGGGAATAAATCTAATTCCTCGAAATCACCCTTTTCCTTCTATTTCTTTTTTTCTCCTACAGGAGGAAGAGGCACAGAGAAAACCTGACCTGACATAGACAAAGAGGTTGGAGGTGGAGGCAAAGGGAAATCCTTTTAGCATAAGGGAAGGTAACAGGGAAGGCTCATGGCGGAGAGATAGGAGAAACAGGAGCAATGGTATTTTGCAATTTTAACAACTGTTGTAACATCTCTAAAATGTGCTGCAAATCAGAATTTCCTTCAGATGAAGGAGGCATTAGCTCTTTTTCCAATTCGTTGTCTTCAATAACCGGGGCATAAACATGTTTCTCTCTAAGATCATTCCTCTCTAAACCTTCAGATGCCTCACCTCCTGTGGCAGTATCGCCATGCTCCGAGTCAGTTTCAAGTAACTCTAATGCCTGAGTAATGGAATTACACAAAGTCCACAAAGTCAGAGGCATCGTTTGCCCCCGCTGATGAGCTCGACGCAGGACTTTAACCACTTGTAACCATTCCTTTCGATTTAATTGCACTTTGGTTTGATATTGAAACCAATAACAATGTTGTTCAACATGGGCAAACAATCACTTCAAAGTCTTATGTTCCTTAACTAACTTCTACTCCTATAGTCATCAACAGTCCCTGGAGTAACCGCAAATATTTAGAGGCCAGAGAGGTGGAATTCCCCATAATTTTCCCGTGGGTCCCCCTTTCTTTATTTACCTGCCTGGGGTGTTCCCCCTCCGGTTCCTTGCTCTCGTGGAGCCACGGACCCTGCTCGCTGCGCCAGATGTTGGAGTCCGCGTGTTTCCTAAACAAAGGAATGAACACACAAGACAACACGAGACAAGACAGACATGGCGGCCGCCTCGAATGGCGCGCTCCGCTTTATTTTATACAGTCGTTTGTGGAATGTTGCCAAGTCACAAGACACATCGTTGTTTTTCTGACCTTTCCCTGACTTTCTGGATTTTCAAGATGTTTTCATATAAACAGGCCCCCAACGCCCTGCTTTGTTTGCAAGAGCAGGACTTATTGGGAACGCCCTGCTTTGTTTGCAAGAGCAGGACTTGTCGGGAATGCCCTGCTTCGTTTGCGAGAGCAGGACTTATGGGGAACACTCTGTTTGTGAGCACGTAGTCCTCTACAACCACGCCTGGCTATTTTTTTTTTTTTTTTTTTTTTTGTATTAGAGATGGGGTTTCACTGTGTTAGCCATGATGGTCTTGATCTCCTGACCTTGTGATCCGCCCACCTTGGCCTCCCAAAGTGCTGTAATTACAGGCGTGAGCCACCACGTCCGGCCCACCCTTCAGTTTTTCTTGGACCTGGGTTTCAGTACTGTATGGGGATAAACATGGCTATGTCTGCTAGAGTGTCTTGTGAATATCAGCTACTGGGTCGTTTTCCCTCATAGGACAACCTGAGGTATTTAGTGTAGCTTCTCAAGTGTGCAGGTGGATGCCCTGAGGCTAAGAGGCATTTCCTGCTGCCTTTTTTTTTTTTTTTAAGTTAACCCCTTGAGACATTAATATTGTCTTCACCCAACTTAACTTTCATTTCTTGGAGACACATTGCTGG